TCCAACTTGCCTCAACACACCTGCCTTTAAGCTTCTAGTATGCTTAGTAAGAGCTTGATTAGCTGGTTCAGGTGTGTTTAATCGGGGTTGGAGCTAAACTCTTCAAGACACCAGCCCTCCAAGACCGAGTTTGGGCAGCCCTGATGTATATGCTTTTATTTATAACTTTTTTTAATTAACTGTTTTTTTCCCCCAAAGCATTGTTAGATGCCAGTGTTTCCTGTAGTTATGCGAAGATTTGGTTTCAAAACTATTTCTTATGATTTTAAATCTGCATTGAACTTCAGATCAATCTCAAAGTAAAAGGCGGTATTAAAGTCTGATAATTTTTTTTATCATCATCTTAATTAAAGTGATGAAGGATTCTGAAAGTCTGTCAGTAATCAGTGTTGAGTGCTACTGGCTATGTTTACATGCACAATTTTTGGTTCAATCAGACTGAATTCATTCCGATTGATGAATCTGAATGTAGTGTTTACATGAACACTAAATAAAGTGATCGGGTTGATGTGTGCGTTTATACGTCACAAGCATCAAATCGGAATAGATTTTTTTTGACATGCGCACACTGCACAAATATAGAGTTTCTCAACTGTTTGCACATAATAACCACTCTCCTACACAGTTTCTTTATTTGTATTTAACAGCAGAATTCATATGTATCCATTTATGGATAAATATACATATAAACCGCTGTGCGGTGCTGCTCATATTTATCACGTAGTAATGGGTTGCCTGTGGATGAGAATCCAAAACAAGGACTGGTGGGAAGTTGTCCTGCTCCACTTCACAGTTGCCGAGTGAAAGGAGAGTTTTTTAATGACAGGACACTTTCATTCCGATCGAGCTCAGTCGGATCGATTAAGGAGTTTACATGAAGGTTTTTCAGTCCGATTGAGCCGTCAATCTGATTACAAACGGATTATTTGGTTGCATGTAAACGTAGCCACTGTAAGGTTATCCCTGCATCCTTTAAATGTTTCAAAATGATTAAAAGTTGAAAATAATAATTCGAAATTTAGTGAAGTAATCAAAAGTAATCAGTTACATTACTTTAATAAAGTAATTGAAAAAGTTACACTACTATTACATTTTAAATAGTGTAACTTGTAATCTGTAACCTATTACATTTCCAAAGTAACCTGCCCAACACTGGTCTTCAGTCAGCGCATTCTGAACTCGTTCGTGCTAATACCGGTAATCTTCATTCTGCATTCACACACAGCATCATTCCGGCAATTTACTGGTAATGTTACAACTTCTCAAACCTGTAAATTGCCGGAACGAATTTACCGGTATTTTTAAAAAGGTCCTGCTCACACATGATCTCTTTACGGCAATTTACCGGTAATTTTCCAGTAAAGTCTGTATGTGTGAAAGGGGCTTAAGTGTGCTCCTTCCGCCTGAACAGTCTCTTGAAAGCTTGCTTGAAGTCCTCGTTGAAGCTAGTGTACAGTAGCGGGTTAATGAGCGAGTTGGTGTATCCCAGCCAGGTGAGCGCATCGGACACCTGAGGTGAGGGGTTGGGCACATTCAATCCCACCAGCAGCTCTTTCAGGAAGAACGGGAGCCAGCACAGGATAAAGGCTCCCAGGATGAGCCCCAGAATCCGAGCCGCCTTCCTCTCCCGAGACGTGCAGATCTGGTTCCTCTCGTCCTCGCGTCCAGCGAGCGGCGCGCGGACGGCGGCGTGGTTGCGGTCGAACTCCGCGGTGTGGTCAGAGGTGGAGACGTCCGAACGTCCGAGGGCGTGCTTGACGCGGCAGTGGTGCAGCGAGTTGGTGCTGTCGGTGCTGCGGCTGCTGAAGTGGCGTGAGGAGCCGCGCTTCTGGTACAGCGTCTTGGCGGCGCTGTAAATCCGGGAGTACAGGATGAGGATGAGAGTCATGGGGATGTAGAAAGCACCGAATGTGGAATAGATGGTGTAGCCCACGTGGTCGTGCTCGATGATGCACTGCTGCGGGCCTGTCCCGTCCCCACGCTGCCTCCAGAACAGAGGCGGAATGGAGATGAAGATGGAGAATGTATATGCTTTTATTTATAACTTTTTTTAATTAACTGTTTTTTTCCCCCAAAGCATTGTTAGATGCCAGTGTTTCCTGTAGTTATGCGAAGATTTGGTTTCAAAACTATTTCTTATGATTTTAAATCTGCATTGAACTTCAGATCAATCTCAAAGTAAAAGGCGGTATTAAAGTCTGATAATTTTTTTTATCATCATCTTAATTAAAGTGATGAAGGATTCTGAAAGTCTGTCAGTAATCAGTGTTGAGTGCTACTGGCTATGTTTACATGCACAATTTTTGGTTCAATCAGACTGAATTCATTCCGATTGATGAATCTGAATGTAGTGTTTACATGAACACTAAATAAAGTGATCGGGTTGATGTGTGCGTTTATACGTCACAAGCATCAAATCGGAATAGATTTTTTTTGACATGCGCACACTGCACAAATATAGAGTTTCTCAACTGTTTGCACATAATAACCACTCTCCTACACAGTTTCTTTATTTGTATTTAACAGCAGAATTCATATGTATCCATTTATGGATAAATATACATATAAACCGCTGTGTGGTGCTGCTCATATTTATCACGTAGTAATGGGTTGCCTGTGGATGAGAATCCAAAACAAGGACTGGTGGGAAGTTGTCCTGCTCCACTTCACAGTTGCCGAGTGAAAGGAGAGTTTTTTAATGACAGGACACTTTCATTCCGATCGAGCTCAGTCGGATCGATTAAGGAGTTTACATGAAGGTTTTTCAGTCCGATTGAGCCGTCAATCTGATTACAAACGGATTATTTGGTTGCATGTAAACGTAGCCACTGTAAGGTTATCCCTGCATCCTTTAAATGTTTCAAAATGATTAAAAGTTGAAAATAATAATTCGAAATTTAGTGAAGTAATCAAAAGTAATCAGTTACATTACTTTAATAAAGTAATTGAAAAAGTTACACTACTATTACATTTTAAATAGTGTAACTTGTAATCTGTAACCTATTACATTTCCAAAGTAACCTGCCCAACACTGGTCTTCAGTCAGCGCATTCTGAACTCGTTCGTGCTAATACCGGTAATCTTCATTCTGCATTCACACACAGCATCATTCCGGCAATTTACTGGTAATGTTACAACTTCTCAAACCTGTAAATTGCCGGAACGAATTTACCGGTATTTTTAAAAAGGTCCTGCTCACACATGATCTCTTTACGGCAATTTACCGGTAATTTTCCAGTAAAGTCTGTATGTGTGAAAGGGGCTTAAGTGTGCTCCTTCCGCCTGAACAGTCTCTTGAAAGCTTGCTTGAAGTCCTCGTTGAAGCTAGTGTACAGTAGCGGGTTAATGAGCGAGTTGGTGTATCCCAGCCAGGTGAGCGCATCGGACACCTGAGGTGAGGGGTTGGGCACATTCAATCCCACCAGCAGCTCTTTCAGGAAGAACGGGAGCCAGCACAGGATAAAGGCTCCCAGGATGAGCCCCAGAATCCGAGCCGCCTTCCTCTCCCGAGACGTGCAGATCTGGTTCCTCTCGTCCAGCTCCGTGTCGAGCGGCGCGCGGACGGCGGCGTGGTTGCGGTCGAACTCCGCGGTGTGGTCAGAGGTGGAGACGTCCGAGATGCAGAAGGCGTGCTTGACGCGGCAGTGGTGCAGCGAGTTGGTGCTGTCGGTGCTGCGGCTGCTGAAGTGGCGTGAGGAGCCGCGCTTCTGGTACAGCGTCTTGGCGGCGCTGTAAATCCGGGAGTACAGGATGAGGATGAGAGTCATGGGGATGTAGAAAGCACCGAATGTGGAATAGATGGTGTAGCCCACGTGGTCGTGCTCGATGATGCACTGCTGCGGGCCTGTCCCGTCCCCACGCTGCCTCCAGAACAGAGGCGGAATGGAGATGAAGATGGAGATGAGCCAGACAATGGCCACCATGATGCCGGCGCGCCGGGCCGTCCTCTTGCGGGCGTACTCGATGGCTTTAGTGATGGCCCAGTAGCGGTCAAGCGCGATCACGCACAGGTGCAGGATGGAGCAGGTGCAGCAGGTCATGTCGATGCTCAGCCACGCCTCGCACACGAATGGCCCCAGCAGCCAGGTCTCCGTGGTGATGTAGAGGATGCTGATGGGCATCACCAGCACGGCCACCAGGAAATCAGTGGCGGCCAGGGAGCAGATGAGGTAGTTTGCAGGGAGGTGGAGCTTCCTGGTGGTGCAGATGGCTGCGATGACAGCGCCGTTCATCATGGCCGTCAGCAGCGTCACCAGCGCCAGCAGAGCCACCACGGCCAGCCGCTCCGCCAGCAGCTCCACGCCGAAGGCCGATCCTGGGGTGGCGGTGGTGTTGGTGGCGTTGGCCGGAGCGCCCAGGGTACCCTCCATCTCCATCCCTCAGTTTGGAGGATCCCTCTGCCCAGGACTAAAGCCCAAAAGACTTGCGTGCTGGATCAGTGACGGCCTGTCAGAGACACAGTTAACATGCCGTTTATGTTAAATTATGTCAAGTTATTTAAAAGGATTACTAATGACTAGGGTTGCTGCAAAAAGGTGGAAAATTTCCAGTAAATTTCGGAAACATTCCAGAAATTTTGGAAACTTTCCAGGATTTTTAAAAAATTTTCCAAAAATGTCCCACCCCTTTGCAACCCTAACTAATGACTTAACATTTCTAGAGCATGCAGACACAGTGGCATTTAAATTCACAGCTGGCAAACTGGGCATAACTGTCTATGCAGTAGAAACATGAAAACATTTTGAAATCGGTGCTACTTGACTAGAGAAAACAGAAAAAGGCCTTGACGTTTGCTTTTGCCAAAAGCTTTAACACACTTTAATGCACTTTAGAATTTTAGTGCTGCCCCTCTGTCAATCCCACTGTCTGTAGTTCCATCTGTAGTTTAAACAAAAGCCCCGAAGCTGTCAAAAGTCAGTGGACTGGCAGATTTTTGCTGACAAATAATCATGTATACCTGTGTCTAGGTGCAGGTAAGATGGAGAAAGAGTACACATTGTTTGTTTGCTTATACGTCCGACATTGTAACAGTTTAAAGTTAGTTGAAAATCTCAGGCAATAACAACTAAAATTTGACCAAAGTGTTTAACAGTAATAGAAATACAGAAATAGAAATACAGAAACAACAATATTCAAAACAAAGCAAAGCACAGTACGGGAGATTGCATTCTGCTGAAGTGGCGTGAGGAGCCGCGCTTCTGGTACAGCGTCTTGGCGGCGCTGTAAATCCGGGAGTACAGGATGAGGATGAGAGTCATGGGGATGTAGAAAGCACCGAATGTGGAATAGATGGTGTAGCCCACGTGGTCGTGCTCGATGATGCACTGCTGCGGGCCTGTCCCGTCCCCACGCTGCCTCCAGAACAGAGGCGGAATGGAGATGAAGATGGAGATGAGCCAGACAATGGCCACCATGATGCCGGCGCGCCGGGCCGTCCTCTTGCGGGCGTACTCGATGGCTTTAGTGATGGCCCAGTAGCGGTCAAGCGCGATCACGCACAGGTGCAGGATGGAGCAGGTGCAGCAGGTCATGTCGATGCTCAGCCACGCCTCGCACACGAATGGCCCCAGCAGCCAGGTCTCCGTGGTGATGTAGAGGATGCTGATGGGCATCACCAGCACGGCCACCAGGAAATCAGTGGCGGCCAGGGAGCAGATGAGGTAGTTTGCAGGGAGGTGGAGCTTCCTGGTGGTGCAGATGGCTGCGATGACAGCGCCGTTCATCATGGCCGTCAGCAGCGTCACCAGCGCCAGCAGAGCCACCACGGCCAGCCGCTCCGCCAGCAGCTCCACGCCGAAGGCCGATCCTGGGGTGGCGGTGGTGTTGGTGGCGTTGGCCGGAGCGCCCAGGGTACCCTCCATCTCCATCCCTCAGTTTGGAGGATCCCTCTGCCCAGGACTAAAGCCCAAAAGACTTGCGTGCTGGATCAGTGACGGCCTGTCAGAGACACAGTTAACATGCCGTTTATGTTAAATTATGTCAAGTTATTTAAAAGGATTACTAATGACTAGGGTTGCTGCAAAAAGGTGGAAAATTTCCAGTAAATTTCGGAAACATTCCAGAAATTTTGGAAACTTTCCAGGATTTTTAAAAAATTTTCCAAAAATGTCCCACCCCTTTGCAACCCTAACTAATGACTTAACATTTCTAGAGCATGCAGACACAGTGGCATTTAAATTCACAGCTGGCAAACTGGGCATAACTGTCTATGCAGTAGAAACATGAAAACATTTTGAAATCGGTGCTACTTGACTAGAGAAAACAGAAAAAGGCCTTGACGTTTGCTTTTGCCAAAAGCTTTAACACACTTTAATGCACTTTAGAATTTTAGTGCTGCCCCTCTGTCAATCCCACTGTCTGTAGTTCCATCTGTAGTTTAAACAAAAGCCCCGAAGCTGTCAAAAGTCAGTGGACTGGCAGATTTTTGCTGACAAATAATCATGTATACCTGTGTCTAGGTGCAGGTAAGATGGAGAAAGAGTACACATTGTTTGTTTGCTTATACGTCCGACATTGTAACAGTTTAAAGTTAGTTGAAAATCTCAGGCAATAACAACTAAAATTTGACCAAAGTGTTTAACAGTAATAGAAATACAGAAATAGAAATACAGAAACAACAATATTCAAAACAAAGCAAAGCACAGTACGGGAGATTGCATTCATTTTTATGATACATTATAAACCAAGGAAAACACATGAGTTTTAGCAAAGATTTAAAATCAGAAAGTGTTTGAGCCTTTAACACACAGTGGAAGACTGTTACACAGTTTAGGGCCGACAACAGAAAAAGCTTGATACTCTTGCCATTTTTAATGGTTTATAAAATAAAGATAACCGTTCCGGATTAAGATTTTGGATATTATACCAATCAGGGGGACAAAACACAACAATCTCTGTTTTGGATTAATTTAAGTTAAAGGGGTCTTATGATGCTATTTTAAAGCTCATTATTTTGTGTATTTGGTGTAACAGAATATGTTGACATGCTTTAATGTTCTGCTCTGATTGGCCAGCTGACCCAGTGCATTGTGATTGGCCGAACACCACAAGCACTCGTCGGAAATGTAACGGCCCTTACCATAATCGCGAGCGTCAGCTTTCAAAGTAAATATCAAGACAGTTAATAATGTGGTTAGTTTTACCATCAGTTCAAGCCCGAAGGGCAACAGAGTCGTGTGACAGACACAGTGATGAAGCAGTACACAAGCTGCCGTTAAGACAGCTGACGTGCTATGATTTCTGACAGACAGTTCACTCTCCTGTGATGTGACCCTGTTCTCCTCACTCACACACACACACACACTCTCACACACACGACGCGTTACTCTGCGCTGCGCAAAACTCTTTTAGAAATAGCCTTTGTGCACAGCCAGCCTTGTACTCTTCTAGGTTCATAAAATACATTGCACAAATTCGAACATCTGGGTTGTGCTGTTGTTGTAAATAAATCTTAACCAATGATTCCTAATTAATCTACTTCCGGAAGGCCAAATAAAGTGCTTTTGCTTTCGCACTGAAACACAGCGTCTCCCTGACATGCTGCTTCAACACTGCTGCTGTTCCTGAAACCACGCCTTCTTTCTTTGCGTGCACATTTGGGCACATTATGCTAATATTTCCACATAGTGAGGTAGACATGTGGGGGCGTGTTAGAACGAGGCGTTTTAGGTAGGTGTGGCTGACTCTTAACTTTTATAAAGAATATCTCTTTGGATTTGAGACTTTAGTCTTTGCAACTTTACAGATCTTCTTTATGCACCAAGAGCTTGTAACACTCCAAAGAGAAAGGGAAACTTGAAATCACATCATATGACCCCTTTAAGAACATTTAGTGACATCTAAAGTTTTAAATCAGTTAAGCAAGCCAAAACAAATCAGTGTATCATTCGTTCATTTGTTTTTTTATTTAATATTGAAAGTTGAAAAATGAGAAAACTGCCTTTTTTCCAAAAAACAAAAAACGAGATTTTCGTTTTTCGTTCAGGGGTAGAAAAATTTATAAACAGCTTGACTATTTGATTTCTACATGTGGGCGGGAATTAAACGCCCCTTTCTGCTGATTTAATCCGTGTATCATTCGATCATTTGTTTTTTGATTTAATATTGAAAGTAGAAAAATGAGAAAAAGGCTCCTTTTTCGTTTTTTTCCAAAAGATGAAAAAACGAAAATTCAGCTTAAATTTTCGTTTTTCGTTCATGGGTGGAAAAATGAATAAACAGCTTGAATACTCGATTTCTACACGTGGGCGGGAATTAAACGTCCCTTTCTGCTGATTGGTCAGCCGAAGATCAAACCGTGCCATCATCAGTTCTTCTGCAGTATCATGCAGCAGAATAATAGTCCTCCACTGCTGCAGTTGTACGGATTAATAACCCATTTTATTGCAACTACATTTAATATTTTTCTCATCAAACAGGCTAATGAATAGCTCGACACAACTCGTACCGGGGCAGAGTCTAGACAGGTCTTTCTTCTGTGTAGACCAGCGGTTCTTAAAGTGATGGGGGTCCAAGAAATAATTAGCTATAGCCTAAAGTATTTCCAGACTGTAAAGTCGCTTTTTTATCATGATACATAGGCCTACTGTGATTTATTCCAAAGTGACTTATATGATGCATTTAACGT